AAAAAATGATTAGTTAGAGCTTAGACGTTGAGAGCTACTTTCGAAAGCACGTAAGCTGTGCTAGCAAATAGAGCTAAATGAGAACTTGACCGATGAAAAGACCCTTAAAAATAAAAAAATTCTTTTTATACTACTTTGAGGAATTTCTTGAGACCCGAGTATACTTTGAGCCATGCGATATGGTAATTTGCCAGATGTCTTCAAATCCAACTCTCGCAGCGTGTATAATTTTTGTAGATCAATAAATTTCCCTATCTTCCACACTTAGAATGCGCTTACGATGAGTTACGGACAATTGGATTGTTGCCAAACGTGTAGCGACTGAATTTGGGTGAAGTATGCCAAGGGTCTCGGGGAGAGAGGGTCAATAACTAATTCGTGATTTGAGAAATGTAGTAGAGATGTCTGTTTGCACAAAGTATAAACAGAAATTCTTTTCAAGTTTTCGCCGATGGAGAGCGCAGCAGCTGTAAGCTTTATAACAATTTTTGTTGTAATCCATGAAGGAAACATGCACACTGCATGAATTTTTGTTTTTCGAATGAATACACCCGATCGGAGTGATAATATTTTGCTCAGGATGCATCACATCACCACGTCTCAAACTCTTATCTTTCCTTTGAATTTTCTCGAAATGTTTCATTCCTTTCGTCAAGCTCTATTAAATGGTTCAAGAATGTCGGGAGACCTAGCAGTTGATCCAACCGTCAATACAGAGGGCAGTGAAAAGAAAGAACCCAAAGCGAAGGTAAGCGGAAAATAAGCGAAACATCTTCGAAGGATTTTTGTTCTAGAAAACAGGCAAGGAGCAGAAGGAGAGAAGAGTGACCTCGAAAAAAGTAAGAAGATTTGCGCCCTATTGAAGATGTGTTCTATCTAATGTTTTACAGCGTGGTTTTCTAAAAAAAGGAGAGGATATCTTAGACGTATCGGTTCACGCCAAGGTTTGCCATTTTTTATTCTTGAAATATAACGTAATGAATATAATGCAGGCTGGGAGGATCCGACGTGGTCCCAATGCACTTGAAGACAGCGACAACCGGTTCGTATGGTGTTCTGCTCTGCTAAAAATTCCGGTAAGTTGAGCAAAGGCTTTGTCCAGAGTTCATGAGCCAGCACCATGCCAGTGCCGTGTCGGGTCGCTTTTCGATGACGATGCGCCACGTTGGCACTGACACGATGCTGGCACGCGGGCATTTGTGGACGCATAAAGAACAAGCAGACCAGCTTTGTAATCTCAGACAACTGATCGGAAGTTCCGCAGGACGTTTGGGAAAGTTCCGCCGGGTCACTTGTGGAAGTTCCGTACACTGTTAAGGAACTTCCCAAAAAAGATGCTGCGGAAGTTCCGAAGAATGCGAACCACAATAACAAAGGCGAACACCTAACAAGATTCGAACCTTCCTTTTGGTGACTGTGAGACTCTCTCACTATCCTCGGCACTACGAATGACATGTTCTACAATGCACTCTAGTTGTTGGCGAGATAATCGTAAGCGACATCACATTCAAACCCTGCGGAAGTACTGGCAGGCCGAAGTGCTGCGGAACCACTGGCATTTTTCGGAATTTCCGCA